TAAGACAGTGAAACTTATAAAATATAAAGTAATAAATACAATAAGACATTTCGACAATAAGAATAACAATAAGGTGAAGGAAGTAGATAGTAAATGATAAGAATGTAAAATTCTGTCCAAAATTCGATATGTACGAAATTTCCTTCGTGTCATCTCCTGCAGAGTCCCTTGTTCTGATTTCGATGGTTACCATTGTTGACCGACTTCGAAAAGGAGGAGGTTACTCAATTCGACATGTATATTTCTTTTTGTTTTTGTGTTAACACAAGAAGATTAATTCTTGCGTTGTTTTTCAATATTACTCGATAATATTTCTTCGCTGACTTCTTCACGAACTGTCACTACTATATAGAGCTTTTCAAAATAATTTATAATACAATTAAAGAATATTACCAAAGTCAAATTTTCATTTTCGCGTACGTCCAATTGTAGGTAGCTTCTTAACTTATATTAGAACGTCCTGCCAAGAGTCGACAAACGAGATTCAATCAACGATAACATTGTCTCGCGATTTTTTTCCAGAAGTTTGTTGCTCGTATGCGTCATTAGAGGATCCGCTCCCGGCGCCGCAAGTACAACCCGCGAGTAAAACGCAAGAAACACGTTACAATGAACACGGCTTTTCCCAATTCCGATATGATCTCGTGTCCAGGATATCGACGTTTGAAGGAACGCCGTTAACGAACCGCACAATCTATAAATATTTCTGCGATCAGCGTGTATTATTACACAATGATTCCCCGTCCTCTCAGGTGCTTTCAGAAAATGCATGGAGTCACTTGAATTACCTTATTACATTCACTCATTCCCTCCTTCATTCCGATTAAGAGTGCCTAAAACGTATCGAGTATAACGATCGACCGGTTCCTCCAAGGAAAGTACTTTCGATTGTAGTCGACTTTCGATCACCTTGACTGACCTTCAACCACAGTTCATCGTCCGCTATTCCAATAAAAGAAAAAGAAGTTGACCTTCTCTTTTATGCTGTCACCCGCGAAAGAGGTTATTCAGATGAGATTACGTCCCCCTTGAAATCAAGCAAAACTGGTCCGATGCATTCTTTTCTATCGGCAGAAGTAACCAAAGCTTGCTGGCCTGCTCTAAAGCGTATAAAAATATCCTGACCCCCCACGGAGAGGGCCAAATATTAAAGAATTTTTAACACAAAGACTGGGCGACGTGAAAAGTTTCAATTTTAACAGATTACTCTACACACGAATATTTTTTTTTTTTATTAGTTTAATTTTTTTCATGTGTTGTTAATGGGGGTTTTACAGGGCTAAGATGTGTTCGGATCGTTCCCATTTTAGGCAAAATTATTCTTTAAAAAATTCGACCTGATAGCACTTGGATAATTTAACGTTATTAAAAAATGTTTGTGTATTGAATCTTTGATAACCCAGCTCTCAGGCATAGTGGCTGAAACGTCGCAATTTAGTTAATTTAAGATATTATTAAACACAACAATTGCGACACACGCCCTAAGAGACGTGTTCTTTCAAATACCTTAAAATTTAATGTTCTCATTAATTTAAAAAAAAAAAAAACCAAAAACATTACGTCTGTCCTCCTCCGAATGTTTCGCGAATCGATTTCACAAGAGTCCTCGCATTCTTACGGAGTATGTATTATTTATATTTCCATCCTCAACACCGATCCAATGCGTTTCATTTTTACCGACACATACATGCATTATGAAAAAAAATATTCTCCTAACTCTTCGAAGCACGCACAAAGCAATCGTGCGAAACGAAGAGTCATGGCTCGCGTCTGTTTATTTAGAATTAATTCGTAAAGAAGGCTCAACTTGGGTGCAATTTCGTTCTCCGGTCCCCTCGAGCTCTAATGGCGGAGGCCAGGATCATTCGCGAGGAATGTCGTTATCGTCGTTATGCCTGTCGCGGCAAACAATCCTGCTGCCGGCGTCGTAAATTCGAAGGAAGCCAGGCAGGGGCTACGCTCCAATTTGCATGATCCTCCTTCCTCCTCGCGCGAAACGTGCTGCGAATCGTTCCTCTCGGGGAAACTCCTGAGGCTGGATGACGTAGACGTGACAATAGCCCGTCTACTGGAAACCAGTCGTCTTGCTGGCCAAGTGTCGCGAGAATCGTGTCCGGTAGAAAGAGTCGAACAATTGTTACCTGTTCATCGCCACCCACGCCGCGACTGACGCGTGCACACGTCTCCGCGAATCGGAGATGACGGTTTAGTGGATCCTTTCACCGTTGGGGGGAATCCCTATATATACAAGTATTCGACCACGACCCGCTTCGCAACGGTTCGAGGCACGAAGATCGTCGCAGGGATGATGATCCTGTCACCGATATTCATCTTGATCGCGGCAGCGCTCGTCGTTCGTTCAGGTAACGCATTTTTTTTTTTATTTCTTTTTTCTTTTTTTTTCTTATTTAATAAGCTCAACGTCGCACCAACATCGTGGGTTATTAGCGACTTACAGAAACGGTACAGAGTTATTACATTTTGTTAAAGAACCGAACAGTCTTGCAGAATTCTACTAAGGTGTCCTGGTATTCGAAAGAATAGTTGGCTTCACTGATACTAGGATGTTTAACTTCCTCCTGATTTCGTTGTATTTGGGGCAGTCAAGGATGATATGGGTAATAGTGATTTGGGTGTTGCATTCGTCACAATTTAATGATTGGCTTCTGTTGAGTAGGTGCGAGTGAGTAAACTCGCTGTGGCCACTTCTGATTCGTGTTATTGCCATTTGCTGCCTTCGGTCGAATTTTGGATTCGTTTGTAAATAATAATAATAAAAAAAAAATATATATATATATGTCGAATTGAGTAACCTCCTCGTTTTCGAAGTCGGTTAAAAAACTTCCTATAGCTTTATGAACTGTGCTAGCTCTATATGTTCTCCATTTTGCAGTCCAAGACGATGTCCGAGTAAGTATTGTGAATAGATTGGCTGTCTGTTTTAAGGGTAGCTGCTATTTTCGCTTCAATATCGGCCATTACATTTCCACGAATATCCTCATGTGATGGAACCCATGCTAGAACTACCGTTTTGCCGTCCTTATCTATTTTGTTGAGTACTTCCTGTATACCAATATACATTTCTGTCAGGTAACGCATTCTTCGGCGTTTTTCCGCGCGATAACGTCTCGGCAATGGGTAGAATTTCTGTACCGGTCTTTGGGAGCCTTGTATATCCTTTTTTTTTTTATATTTATTTCCTGAGCGAATGATCGAGGGTCATTCTTGCTTGTTTCCTTTCTTGGATAGGCGTGCATATAGTAATTTTGATTCGGCGCAGTTGTATCGTAACAAGGTTTCTTTAAATTTCTTGGTTCGTGGAGAACGTTCACTTAACAATTGTTGTACGAAAGTTTTTTAAATTCGCATTCAAGAAGCAAATTGTTAAGAAGTATATGTTTCTAAATTATAGAGCACGGAGCTCATATATTTTCCCAGGCGCATCGGACCCCGTTTTCGAAATTCTCGAGTGCAATATACAGGGTGTCCCAAAAGTCGGGGAGAAGCCGGAAATGGGGGGTAGATGAGACGATTCTGAACAACAATTTCCTTTGCAAAAATGTCGGATGGGGCTTCGTTAAGGAGATATTAAGCGAAAACCCCGACCAATCAGAGCGCGCGTAGACCGTTGGAGCGGCCGCGGTAGCGAAGGCTACGCGCTGGCGGGCGCGCTTGTACGCGAACAAGCGACTCGACGTGCATCGAAGGACATTGACGCTGCCGCCTATAGCGCGTAGCCTTCGCTACCGCGGCCGCTCCAACGGTCTACGCGCGCTCTGATTGGTTGGGGTTTTCCCTTAATATCTCCTTAACGAAGCCCCATCCGACATTTTTGCAAAGGAAATTGTTGTTCAGAATCGTCTCAGCTACCCCCCATTTCCGGCTCCTCCCCGACTTTTGGGACACCCTGTATAGAGTCGATCGCACAAGTATTCGTACCCTGTCTCTGTTATTCTGTGCTTGTTAAAGAAATTTTAAGTAAAATTTTCGGTATGATGTTCCCAAATACATGTTTCGTTATAAATACGTACACGAATAAAATTCACACACGTACGTATTCGTAATGAGAAATAGATTTAACGAGAATCCATAATGAAAAATAAGTTTGTAATTAAATAAATGTTTCACTTTGTATTTAATAAAATAGACTTCGTTGTATTTAATGAATAACGAGAGAGTTACGTCCGTACTGTACGAAATCATTCAAAGAACTGACTGGATGGAAAATCCAGTCACGGGGACCAGACCAAAATTATTCGTTCAACAAAGGGATTCTTTAACGCACGTGTTCATTCGTTCAGAGAATTGTTTATATAAACATCCTTTCAGAAGTCCAGCATACACCAGGTGTCGATTGATTTTTTAACCGACTTCGAAAAGGAGGAGGTTACTCAATTCGACATGTACTTTTTTTTTTTTTTTTTTTTAATGTATTTTGTGTAAAACGAGTAAATAAATGCACGTATAAATCGCCGAATATTCTTTAACAGTAATATTTTATTCGTGAAGCTCTGTACACGACGATTGCTGGCCAAGAAGTGACTTTCCCGGCCTGGGGAAGTCTCTGCGTAGCCTTGTCAATGAAGGCTCTCGAAGGGCCTTCGACGTTGTTTACGCTAAGTAATATTAGGCGATTAATATTTAGGCGAGCTGTGTCGGAATTTCTAACAGTTGCATTTTTAAAACCTGTTGCATGTTGTAGAGCATGTCTCCGAGGTGGACCCATTATCAAGACACTTTGGGATTTCTCATTTTTTGTCGGTCGTATATTCCAACCCCATGTATATAATAATAATAGTTTACATTAATGTGGAAGTTATTAATTTAAAAAAAAAAAAAAAAAAAAGAAAAACAGGGCAAACTTACGTCTGCCCTGTACCGAATGTTTCGCGAGTCGATTTCACAAGAGTCTTTTTGTTTACAGGAGCGTACGGGGTGAACGGCGGAAGCGGTAGCCTGGCGTTCAGTATGTATTTTTATTATTATTATCATTAAACGTCTTCATTAGCCATGCATTAATGCATAAATGCATTCGAATATACAGAGTCTAACAGTAAGATTAATCAACAGTGCGGACGTTCAGATTCTAATGACAATTCATGCAAAGCGACTGCTCCGCACTTTGGCGGTGAAATGAAGAAGTAAATAGCGTATCATCCACAAACTGAGACTGTTTAAAAAAAAATTTGCGTAGATGTCCGCGACCTGGAAGTCAAATGCTTGGCGTGGCCAAAGAAGGTCAAGGTGTCGATGAATAAGAATTATTTTAAAACGCATACCAATGAAAGTGTACTCGTATCGTCAGAGCTGAAAACTGACAAATTATCCGAAAGCTTATAAGAGAAAAGGTATCGGCGTCGATGAATGATCTTAGAAATATTTGAAAATGCAATACAATGAAAATGTACTGATATTGTCAGAGTTTGAAACTGATAAATTATGCGAAAGCCTGCGAGAGAGGAAGTATGGATATTGATGATCTGAGAATGCCTTGTCTGGCCACGCCAAGCATCTAACAGTAAGATTAAAACACCTAGAAAATAGAATTATTTCATTGTGTTGGGTAAATTACGAGCTGTGTTTGCTAAGTGTGATCAGATTTTAGACCCTAGGCTGTTCGGCCCATCTATACTGTAGGTTCTACAGGAGTAGAATCCACAAATCGAGTAGCTACGCTTCCAAACTCGTAATCGAGAAGGTTCTTATCTCCGAATTAGTATTTTTGGCTTCGAGTCTTACTCGGTAGAATAGTAAAATATAGTTTTTCGAAAGTTCTGGATTAGAATACCTCTTTAAGGCTTTCGTGTACGAACCGAGTCTTTTAAGGAAGACATTCCAACGTCGGCATCGCAGCTGGCTTCGTCAGAAAGTTTAGATGACATACCGATAACGTGTGTCACGGTAGTCGCGTACTTGTCTATTGAATGTGTCAATGTTTTCGCATCATTATGATTACGTGGAAAATACTCCATTGTTTCTATTTGCTTTACTTTTAGTTTCCTTCGATTACGGATTATATGTATTTAACTAATACGACTCTTTCATAAAATTGTAATTTTATAATTAAAATTATACCCCACTCGGTGGGTAATTTATTTCACTATAATTCACGAGGAATGTAATTGCTGTAGATAAACATGGAAAAATTGTGCTGTTTAGGAAAAGAGATTCAATTTTAGGATTTAATCTGCGAAAGATAGAACCGCGGAGTTGTTTTGTTTAATGATCACGAAACACGGATCTCTGTCTTTCCTTCACACACGATACTCGCTTTCTCGAGGACGATTTTACTCCGATACGATACGAACAAATCTTCGTTCTCACGACTTGCAGTCGCTCTGCATTTTCACGATACTGCGCTTAATTAACTGCGTACCGTCAATTGCGAGCTACGCACCGTAAATAAATAAATGAACTCGGGACAATCTGAAATATTTTTCAAAATTTTCCACAATGTTGTCTCTTCACTATAAACGAATAACGATTGAGAAATGTATATTTCTATCGTTGCAACGATGACTGAATGCGTCTGAAATTTCGAATTCTTCGAACAGGCAGCGCTTCCGCGTCGGCGAATGCATTCCTCGGCAATTTCCCTGGAAGCTCCGCGAGTCACGACGGGCACAAAGGGATCCGTAGCTACGACGACGGTGGATCCGCCAACGGTGGCCATGACCAAACGGCCACGCATCCCGGAACCAAGGGTGGTAACGGATGCGCGAAATGCAAGTGGGAGGACGACGATTATTGGGAGCAGGAAGAGGACTACGCAGAACCGGAGGAGAGGAGCGAAGATGACTGCGACGATGGCGACGATGGTCAATACAGACCAGAGCATCACGGCGGCCATTATCATGGACGTGGGAAGAAACCTGGCTCGCCTTCGGGTGTGCAAAAATTGGGAGCACCTGGGGTAGGCGGAAGTCCGGTGTATGGTGGAGCTCCAGGGGCAGGTGGAAGTCCAGGATATGGTGGACCTTCAGGTGCAGGTGGAAGTCCAGGATATGGTGGAGCTCCAGGGGCAGGTGGAAGTCCAGGATATGGTGGA